TATCGGATATAAGTATACGTAAATGCTTATGACTATCGGATATAAGTATACGTAAATGCTTATGATATCGGATATAAGTATACGTAAATGCTTATGATATCGGATATAAGTATACGTAAATGCTTATGCTATCGGATATAAGTATACGTAAATGCTTATGGCATCGGATATAAGTATACGTAAATGCTTATGGCATCGGATATGAATATACGCAAATCCTTGTTGGAAAAAATTTACGTCATCGAATACGAGGACACAACACATAAGCTTTCATTGAACGATTACGAAACGTGAAATGAATCATTTCCATTTTCTTGCTAATTTGTTAGATCTAATTTATTAGTGTTCCTTAGGATCAGCTTCAAATTACAATACATTGATTACTAAAGACTGTAATTAAATTTAAATCGTTGAAATTCTCTAATTAACTTTTCCCTTCACTTTCATCATTTCATTCTCATTTCTAAAATATTAAACACTTTAAAGAGTTTAATGGCTATAATTTAACCGTTTGGTTATAATTTAAATCGATTGTTTACTCTTCATAAATCGATATTTATGAAAAGTAAACAAAGTATTCTGAAATATTTCAGGCTTTAAATCTCTTTTAAAATGTGTAACATAAAATTTTGTTTTAATTAAATTCCAAAAATATGACATTAAAACTGTTGCTAATATTTTAATTTTGTAATTTGAAATTGATATTTTAATTTTATAATTTAAAATAAAAACTGAATTTGTAGGGAATAAATTTTGCAAGAATCAAAACAAAATTTTTTCAAACATAAAAAAATTACGATTGAATATTAAAAAAAAAAATAATGTAAAATTATTGTGAAAAAGAAAAAAATTTGAGTTTTGTTTATGTTTTATTTCTTTTTTTCTCTTTATAATAACTACAAATAAATAGAGTAAAGGAAATACCACTGGGATATATTACACAACACTGACCAATATCCAATGGTCATTAATCTTTCTCCTCTTTCTCATTCAACAACAAGTTAGTATTTCAATTTCTATCCTCATTACTAACGACATATTTCTTACATTATTATATCTTATTATATCTTATGAGAAAAACAGAGAAAGAGAGAGAGAGAGAGAGAAAGATGAAATTTTTCTTCCTTCGAGTAAATATAATTTTAAACAAAAACAAAAAAAAAAATTGTAAAAATTTTAAATTTGCCAATATATGTTAGAACTAATATTTGATTAATTTAATTTATAGCAAAAAAAAAGTTTATAAAAATTTTTGAAAAATTTTCGAAATTAATTTAAGACGAAAAATGAAATTAAAGTGATCGTTTTTAATGGACGATTAAAAAAAAAAAACAGAAGGAATGTTATGCACATTTTCCGCATTGTTGAATATTTTAATTATTAATAGACGATAAAAGTAAAAGTAAATTTTAGAAATGAAATGAAAATGAATGTTGTCAGAGAAAGAGATGAAATTTTTGATTGAAATAACACTGCTAAATAAATCAATTAGCAATTGTTCGGGACAATTCTTAAAATTTCAAGCAAAAAAAAATTAGCAAATTTTGTTGAGAGAAAAGATTGAATTAATGAATGCAAACAAACAATCATATTTCATCAATTTAAAACCAATAAAATCAACGAAAAAGTTTTGTTAAAATTATCGAAAAATTTTCAAAATTGATTTTTTTCTAATCACAAAATTATGCCTTTTTTTTTTGTTAAACCAAAAATTAGATTTATCTTTTCAAGCTTTACATTAATCAACTTATTTATTAGGCTTAAGAACAAGTTAAAATTGCAACTTTCACTATCTTCTTAGCAAAAATTTAGCTTATTAGCAAAATTAATAAGCGAAATAATTGGAACAATTTTAGGAAGGGTTAACAAAAAAAAAAATGTTTCAAAATTGTTAGATAAAATCAAAATTTATATATAAAAGAAATAAAATTTATTAAAAGTTCATTTTATATGAAATCGATTTGTGAATTTTTTTTCCCTTTTTTTAAAAAAATTTGAAATATATTTAAAAAATTTTTCTGAATGAAAAATCGTTTACGAAGTTTTCTGTTAATGAAAAAGAATTTGTAATAATGAAAATTGAGCAAATGCTTTTGAAAAATTTCGACAAACTAAAAAGAAAAGAGAAAAAAAAGAAAAAGAAAAAAGAAAAGAAGAGAGA